GGCATTTGCTAAAGATTTGGGCTACAGCTAATAGTTTTTATAGTTGTTTGGTCTATAAAATGTTGGGAAATGAAAATGCTTATTACATTTTTCTAAAGCCCTAAGTGCCTTACCAGTTTGATGTTTGAAATAAGTTTTAGTGTCACATAAATTGATGTACATTATGATGTTGTTACATAGATCATATGCATTGATACAACAGATGTTTAAAGTTTGTTTTTTAATAAAGAAAACTTGAATTGTAATAGAGTCTTATTTGTATTTGTGTATAAGTGTTAGATGATGTACATTTTAAGTTGACTAGTAGTTTGTAGACTTCAATGTGTTTGAGTTTAATATGGTTTAATTGGTTGGTGTCACTTTCATGTTTTCTAACATTATTAGCTGATTATAATTGTGTAGTAGGCCGACATCAGTATTTCAGTTTAGAATTAATTTTGAGTGCATGTCCCACATTATATGAGCCTAATTATAAATTGAGGAATATCAATATTTATAAGATAACATTGAGATAATTTAAGGCAACTGTAAATGTAATTTTTAATTTATGTAAACTTAAAACATTTAAAAACATCACTAAAAAAATAATAACTTTTGAGTTCTGTGAACTTATAAGGGTTTACAGTGTGGCGATGTCGTGTCACAGATTTCTTCATTATTACTTTATTTTCCTCATTAAAAGATTCCATAGACACTAGATTGTGAACAGTGTGGATAGGGCCTAGAGCAAACCCAGACTACTAAATCAACTTATTTTTGTTTTTGGAACAATAAAGTGATGATGTCTTGAGGAATAACCGGTTTAATACCCTTTGCCATAGCTGATAAGATAGGAATGAATTGTTTCTCTTTTAAGTATGTTGTTGTCAGATGGGTCATGCACAATGTTTGTTTGCACTCTCAGATACCTAATATTCCTGCATGGGAAGCTTGCCACCAGACATTACTTTTGAATGGAAAATTATACCCAAATGGAAAATGTTCCATCAGCTGTAACTGTCAAACTGTAGATTGTAGTTGACAATTTGAAAATATTAACGCTCATAGTGTTACATTGTTTTTCTTTAAATGAGGCGGAAATGTCATATAATAAGGTAAATGTATGTTTGCTCCACACCCATAAAGTACAAGGACCATAGCTCAGTCTGTCTGGGTTATGTCACTGATCTGCTGAGTCAGCACTAACCCTTCAGATTTTGGTGGAAGTGGCAGCAAAAGAGTTTTTAGCCCAATGCTTCTGGACCTGGAAACATTGCTGGTGGGGTTTTCAGGTTCTAACATAAATCACATTGTTGACAATAAGTAACACTGATTAATTTACATTGAAGCCACATTGTACTTGTAGCAGTCTATTAAGAGAATCAGCTTTCTGTCTCTGAGACTGTTTCTGTGAAACCATGTGACCACAAAGCCTCCACCCTCTCTGCTGACACTGATCCCTGCTCAGCATCGGAGAGCTTTGTAAAACCAACAACAGGTAAGAACACTTTGAAATAGAACAATGACATACTTTAAAATGCTAAGATCAGGAGTTTATACCAGATATAAATGGAAAATGTATTTGACATAAAAACTGAACATATCTGTTATTTTACATTCATTCATAACTGAACAACACTGAGATGAAATTAAGAATAGTTGTTTTCCCCTCATTTTCTCAACTTTAAAGGACCATAACTATGTTTTTTTATGAGTTAGGAGAGAGAGGGGGATGACACGCAGAAGAGAGCCGCAAGTCAAATTTGAACCCTGGGCCGCTGCAGCAAGGACTCTGTATATGGGGCTAGCTCTACCAGGTGAGCTAACCAGGCACCCTATATATATCCATTTATATATATATATATATATATATATATTTTAATGGGCCCAGTTACCTCGGTAATATGAGAATGTATTTCTATCTATTATTGTGTGTTTAAGCCTAAAGCAGACATGTTGACTGTTGACTGAAGGTTGTTGGTTTTTGTTGTTTTTTTTTTTTTATCTCAAAATATGAATTAGTTGTTGTTCTGCCTGTGGACAAAGCAATGGTCTTCCTGTGTGAGTTTGATACCTTTCATGTTTTATGTTACACTTTGGGGGTCGGCTATGGGATTATTATGATCTCTATATGATTAATATGTCATGACACTAAAAGGTTACTTACTAAAAAATGCTGGGTTAAAACATTATATATAACCTATAAGTACATATTGTACTTTGTATCCAAATAAATTAAACAGAATTTAACAACGTTTATGTCAAATATAGATATACAGTTTAAATGACTAGTTGATAAATGCTATGGATGCGGTTGATAGTCAACAGCTGTTGATAGTAACATATTCTTGTCAAAAGTAATTATAGGCCTGCTGCTGCTGGCTACCAGACCAATGTGGCCGTGGCCACTGATTATAAATCTGAGTGCGCAGTTTATAAACCTTTCACATGGCTGTTTTTTGTTCTTTTTTCTGGAACTGCAGATAATCAATGATCAAGACCAATCTTTATTTATTTATTTTGACAAATTAAGGAAATGTCTAAAACCTGAATACTATCGAGCGTGTCTGCTGTGTGTGGCGGCGGAACATAACAAAGTCTCTCTGCATCATCATACTGCTGATAGAGAACAGCAGGCACACTCACATAAGAACATTGCAGTATCAGAGCGCTAAAACATTTTTTAAATTTATGAACCATGCTCTGTCAATTTCATTGACTGTACATATTGTAGAGGCGTGTAGAAACAACAGTTTGTGCTTGCAGAGTGGCTGAAGTCTGAAAGTTTACATTCCGCTTGTTCAACAGGAGTTTGACAAACTGATCATACTGTCTCCCATTTGTTGCACTTATGACTAATGAATGAATAATTAATAATGAGCATGTTGTTGCATGAAATATTTTCACTGCTGTCCCGATATCTGAAAGAGATGGGTAAAAGTCACTGGTATTTTTAAATCGCACAACTAACTTGGGAAACTTTTAATGATTTATTTCACAACAAAAATGGTTCCATAATTTTTTTGAAAAAGTTGTGCTGAAAGTTTATAGTTTCTAATTAAGTTAGTTAGTTATTTACATTATAAAACCCCTATCAAACTGAGAGAAAGATCATCGTAATTATTAATGTCGGCACAGGCAAGTTACATTTCTATTGTTGACCACATAACATTACAGGTTTATTAGGTTACCATTACACTAAGTAATAATAATAATAATAATAATAATAATAATAATAATAATAATAATAATAATTTTTTTTTATTTGTAAAGCACTTTTCGTAAAAAGAATCTCAAAGTGCTACAGAAACCAAGAAACACAATAACAAAAAACACTCAGGGCAATAACACATTAAAATCAGCAACCAATAAGAATACAAGTGATAAAATACATTAAGAAAAAAAAAATCATATAAATTACAGCATACGGACCATGATTAGTTGAAGTATAATTAATACACAAAAACTAAAACTAATAGCCTACAACAGGCCTTTCAAAGATGTCCCTATACTTTTCTTTCTTCCAGAGAACTAATAAGCTTCTCCATCCTGAAGTTCCTGTGAAGCTGTCACCATGGCAACGTGAGTAATACCAACAATTCTACAACAACAGTGTTTCAGTTTTTGTTTGATTCTTGAAATCCATTACAGAGTGAACACTGCTGAATCACATTTTACTTGATGTGACAATTTACAATATAAGAGTGTGATTGATCATATGTGATGATATACACAATTAAAATATGGCCTCTTGTTTATTAACAACCAAACTTTTAGAAAAAAAGGAAATGTTGATAAAATGTTAAAAGGACACAGGTAGCAGGTGTAGACTAATCACCTGAGGTTAGTGAGCTGATACTGAAAGATGAGTTTCAGGATCAACATTTTTTATGCTTCATTGCTTTGCTACCTTACTAAAAACTGCTAAAATGGTTTTATGACCCCAGTAAAGTGATTTTATTTATTTTGGTTTAAGTTTAGTGGCGTCAAGCTCATGTTTTTACTTTTCTACAGGAACAGCTCGTCCAAATATGACAACATCCAGATCCAATCAAGATCTCCCGCTGTCTACCAGCTGAAACCAAAGAAACAGAAGATTGGAACTATAAGAAGAATGACTCTTGGTGAAAAAGATGTGAACAAGACAAACAGAACCATTTTACTTGTTGGTGAAACAGGAACAGGAAAATCTACTCTGATCAATGCTCTGGTCAACTACACCATGGGAGTGAAGTGGGAGGACAATGACTGGTTTCAGATCGTAGAGGACGAGAAGAGAAGTCAGTCAGAGAGTCAGACATCAGATGTGATCGTTTATGAGATCTTTGGTTTTGAAGGTAAAACTCTGCCCTACTCTCTGACCATCATCGATACTCCTGGATACGGAGATACCAGAGGGCCTGAACAAGATGTCATCACCAGTCACAGATTATTCGACTTGTTCCGCTCAGAGGACGGAGTCCATGAGATCAATGCAGTGGGTCTGGTGCTGAGAGCGACTGAATGTCGAGTGAATGACCGACTGATGTACATCTTTGATTCAGTGATGTCTCTGTTTGGAAAAGATATGGAGAAGAACATTGTTCCCCTCATCACTCACTCAAATGGAAGAAAACCTAAAAATGTTCTTAAAGCCCTCGAGGATGCAAACGTTAAGGGTGCCACAGATGAAAATGATCAGCCTGTTTACTTCCTGTTTAATAACTGTCAGCATGAAGACAGGACAGAGGACACAGATGTCCTTAAACATGCAGCTAAAACATCAACAGAAGGACTGAGACAGTTCACAGACTTTCTGAAAGAAACTGAACCTCAGAAGATGAAGACAACTGCGGATGTTCTGAATGAACGAATCAGACTCAAAGCCTGCATCCAAAACCTGAAAGAGAGAGTTGAGTTTATTGAACTAAAACAGAAAGAAATCCAACAGACTGAGGAAGCTCTGAAGAAATATGAACAAGAGATGAAGAACAATGAGAAGTTCACTGTAGAAGTTGAGGAGGTCGACAAAGATAGACAACCTATTGATGGTGGGATGTGGGGGTTGGTGTTTTATGAAACAGCTGTCTGCTGTACAGTCTGTGAAGAGAACTGTCACTATCCTGGATGTACAGTGGGCTGGAGTCCAAAACACTGTGAGGTCATGAAAGATGGTCGCTGCACTGTTTGTACCAGGAAGTGTCCTGTATCAGCTCATGTGAAAGAAAAGTGGATCTATGTGAACAAGACAAGAAAAGTTCAGAAGACTCTACAGGAAGTGAAAGAGAAGTATGAAAAGAACAAGACAGAAAGTGAGAGCAGGTTGAGCCTTTTGGAAAATCTAAAGAAGAAAACAGAAGAACTTCAGAAAGATAAAGATCAGTGGTTGGAAGAGTCCTTCCAGCATGTTGTCAAACTGGAGCAGATCGCCCTGAATGCTGTTTCACTGTCCACTCTTGTCCACTTGGACTTCCTGATTGAGAAGATGAAGGAGAAAGGAGACACAGAGAAGGTCCAGAAACTGGAAGAGATGAAAAGTGGAGTGGATAAAGGAACCAGAGCAGCACTGCGGTACAAGTTTATGAGACTTAAATTAGCTGCTAAAGCACCTAAAGAAGCAATCAATTGATAGATCAACAACGTGAGCAGTCAGCTATTCAGAAAACAAGTTCTACACTATTCATTCTGTTTCTGTAAGTGTGATGTTGATGTAATTATTACCATTCATTCCATTTAGATAAGCAAGGGCCTGTCATGGACAACCTGGTTTCCTGATTCAATCCTCCTGGAGAACACAGGTTTCTGTGGGACACTACTAACAGCTCTATCTGGCGATGCCCCCTTGTATTTAATATTGACAACTCCCTCCCTCTCCTATATCAAAAACTAAACATAAAGTCAGATCATGTAAATTACAATCTTCAGTCTTTCTTTAGTTTCTCTGTGTGAGTTTAATGTTTTTAATGTTTTTCTATTGGTGGTTTTCAGTCAATACAAGACTCATTTAGATTTTACTCTAAACACATCACTGATATATATTATATACACATATAAATCAGTTAAACATGTTTGTGTCCTATGTTAATTTGTTTGCACAAAAGATGTTACAGAGCCTTAGAAGTACTTTGCTGTGTTGGAGGTGAATCCAACTGTAATGAAATCTAATGTACTTTGATTTGACAGAACTATGGTTTCTTAATCTTTCTTTCTCTTTGTTAATTTCTTTCTTTTTCTGCCCCCTCCCTCTGGAATTCGATCCCCAAACACATCCGTGACTGTATCGACCTTCCAACATTCAAATCTCTGACAAAAACTCACCTTTTTAAATTAGCTTTTAATGTTTAGCTTAGTCTGTGTTTTTAGTGTTTTACTATTTGATGTTGTTTTGCTGCTTTTATGTTTTTATGTAAAGTGTCTTTGAGTATTTAGAAAGGCGCTTATAAATAAAATGTATTATTATTATTATTATTATTATTCATGCTTGTGATGACTAGTTAAAATATTTCAGATGACACAAGGCATGTCTTTCCACATGCAATCACATCCTGATACAGTTTTCTGTGAATGGTGAATAAAATCTCTGCTTCATGAAACCAGTTTGCTCAGAGTGTCTTCACTGGATCATCAGCAGCTTTTAGAGTCTGTTGAACTTTCTTCAATAAACACCTGTTTCTCTAATGAAACACTTTCAGTTGATTCTGACTGATTATTCAGCAAGTACAGATATTCTTCACTTTAACACAGGTGATGGGAAAGTTTCACTCTGTATGGTTTGATTTATCAGTGCTGCATTTGACAAAGTCGAATTACATTAAACTTTATTTCAATAGCATCAAGTCATGATAAAAGTTATCTCAGGACTCAGGACCTGCTTTATTTGAAAAAATAGACCACCTTATAAAATCTAAAAATATTAAATACAAAAATGACACATGAAGTTCCTCAAGGCTCCATTCTGGCCACACTATTTAATATTAACTTGCTCCAACAAACTCAGATTATGTAAAACAGCAAATATTAACCATATATAGTTGGTTTATAAAGCACTGAAGGTCCAAAATACATTCCTTTCTTTTATATTTTTTATTTGAAAAGCATTTTGAATTGTCTGATTGTTTGCTTTGGGGATTTTGTCGTCACGTGATTTCAGAGAAACAGTGTGACTTCAAACCAGTACAACAAGTGAAGTGAAGGGAGGGAGGAGAAAAACAAAGTTTCCACCCTCTCTGGTATAAAACTGCTCTTGGCTCTTGGCTGATGCTTCCTCAGCATCTGACAACTTGTGAAGCCAACAACAGGTAAGAACACTGAAAAATTAGCAATGAAATAGACTTTAAAATGTCAAGCTCAGGAGTTAATACCAGAAATGAAAAAAGAGAAAATGTTATCGACATTATCGCTGAACATGCTATATGGTTACAGCTCTAACTACTATAGTGTCAGGGTTGGTAACTGCAAGGCAACAAGGAATAAGACTCAAATATGGAGCAGGAAAAGTTCAGGAATTTGATGACAGAAATAGTGTTACATGCAAGTCCAAACAGGGGTAAAAGAGTCCACAAGAAGACATGAACATGGGTGGGAATAATGTATAGCCAGGTACTGGCTGGTACAGGCACAGGTACAGGTATAGGTATTCATATGACAGGTTTCAGGTTTACAGAGATAGCAGAAAGGGTAGCAGATAGTAGAGATGAGATTTATGGCTCTTTGAAGGGAGCCGGAACTTGAGAAGCCGTTCCTTTCAAAGAGCCGTTCAAAAGACTGACCCATTTATATATTTATTTATTTTTAAGAAGCTAGTCTGGGCGTAAATAATCATTGGGAGGAATGATAGGGTAAGGTTTGGATCAGAATCATTCATACTCAGATGGGATCAGGGGCGCCATATAGGGGGGAAAGTTAGGACAATTCCAAGGGCCCATGACTGACAGGGGCCCCAAAAAATAGGTAAAAACTAATATAAAATGATTAAACCATCATCATTCAGTATATATATTTCATATATAATAATACAATGAATGATCTCTTTGTTTTTACCTGTTTTTGGCAGTAAAAGTTAAATATCCCCATTGACCAAAAAGTAAACATCCATATTGACCGACCACCCCCCTGTATCTGCATGAAATGGTTTGGTCCTGCCTTAGCGCACTTATCAGTGACTGTCTTTATTGCAGTCAGTAGATGCTCCAGAACTACAGTGATCACAATGTTAACTAGTAAATCAAAATCTGGTTTTCAAAAAAGGAAAGAGAGAAAAGAGAGAGGAAAGACAAAGGAAAGGATGTCAATCTGTAACCCAGTGTTTCACCAAGAAAGGAGCCTATAGTCTGTGAGTGGTATTAACCTGTTGGCTTAATGTCCATAGGGAAATAAGATACAGCTACAGACTAGTGTTAGTCTACATTTAATCACCATTTAATCAGTTCAGGGAAACGTTTAGCAAGATATTCATATTAAATCATTGTCCCTGCCCCTTTTAGCAGACTTAACAACAGATGAGTCAGCAGCACCCAGTCTCCCCATCACTGTACCCCTCCCAGTCCCCCCATCACTGTACCCCTCCCAGTCCCCCCATCACTGTACCCCTCCCAGTCTCCCCATCACTGTACCCCTCCCAGTCTCCCCATCACTGTACCCCTCCCAGTCCCCCCATCACTGTACCCCTCCCAGTCTCCCCATCACTGTACCCCTCCCAGTCCCCCATCACTGTACCCCTCCCTGTCCCCCATCACTGTACCCCTCCCAGTCCCCCCATCACTGTACCCCTCCCAGTCTCCCCATCACTGTACCCCTCCTGTCCCAGTGAAGAAGCTGAGCAACGTTGTGTTCAATGACAGGCCAGTTAGCATCACTGCAGGGAGTCTGTGGGGATTTCTGTCTCTCTTGCTCTTTTTACCATTTCAAAAAAGAAAATGTAATATTTATTAATGACAGAAATTCAAACACATTAATAACAATTATTTTCTCAGATAATGATCATTATGAAATAAATAACAAACAATTAACAAGATGCAGCTACACAGCATTTTTGGAGACGTCTGCATTGCTTTACGTATATTTTGTACATTGCCTGTGACTGTTGCTGGTGGGGAGAGAGCTTTCAGTAAGCTAAAACTGATAAAAAACTATTTGAGGTCCACTATGTCTCAGGACAGACTTTGCAGTCTTGCCATGTTGTCCATTGAAAGTCAGTTGGCTAGAAAGCTCGACTTCAAAGACTTATCAGTGACTTTGCTAGGAAGAATGCTCGGCACTGGGCTCTTGGTGAGTCAGGCTGAGCGAGGGCCAGTGATAGCTGACAAATGGCATGGCTGTGGAGATTGGATATTACTACAGACATAATGTCCACAGCCTAAAAAAACTGAGCACAAGATGTATGGCTGGACTGCCAAAAACGTGTTGAGCTGTTATTTGAGAGTAAAGTTTGGGTTTCCAGGAGTCCTTTGTTCTTATTTATACATTTTTAAGTTGATGTCACTGGTACTGTTAATTTGTAATGACTATTCCAAACCTCAAAACCTTTTGATTTAGTGATCACTTGATCTGTTTTGTGGCACTATAATAACCCTGGTGTGGAAATTTAATTTTACATGTCAACTTTATTTTCTTGTTGGCATATATGTGCCTAAGTTCAAGAATCTGCTGTTTCCATTGTTTTGAGAGGATGATGTTAATTTATTTTGATTGAAAAGTTAATATATATTTAAGTTTGTTTGTTTTTCTTTTTTTAAATCTTTAATTAATAATTATAATGACAATTAATAATAATAATAAATGATTAATTTTATAAAGAAAATTCTCCATTTTGAAATGTTACAATTAAAATACATTGAGACTGTAAAAGATGGCCTTTAGCACATTTTCTATGGTTGCTTTTAATCTTGCATCAAATAGTGAACTGCATACTGTATGCAGACTTGCATGCATGTACAAATCACCAGCAGTAAATATTGTGGTAGTAGCCTACTAGTATTGAACTACAAGAAGCAAGACAGTTGCAAGCCTTTAATTAGAGTTATGTAAAGCTTTTGATGGGACAGTTAGGTCCTAGAGATGTGGTGACAACAGCTGCGCAGAGGGGCCCAATTAGATTTTGTTGTCATGGGGCCCAAAATTCCTGGTGGCGCCCCTGGATGGGATATAAATTATTTTGAAATATTGATTATAATTTAATTTGACATATTAGGTTGACGTCTGAACAGCGCATCCAAATGCTGCTGCGCTTTCTTTGGCTCATTGTAGCGGCAGTACTGACACTCCGCACTCACGTGAAGGCAGTGTGCCACTGTGTCGGACAACTCAGATGACATCATGTAAAATTTGCATATCAAATTAGCACCCCATGCGTACTCTGCTGCGCTCCTCCCCTTGTTGTGCATGCTCTCCGTCTCAGTGGAGTAGCAAAGGAGGAGCTTGTGTGCACATGCTGTGTGTGTGACAGCGATTTAAAAGAAAAAAGAAAGAAAAGAACGGCTCTCAACTGCGACTCGGTTCCCATCGTTCATGTTAAAGAGCCGTTCAATAGATTTGGTTCGTTCGTGAACGTCACAACTCTAGCAGATAGCAGAGGTTAGAAAGCAAGGTATGAAACCAATAAAACAAAAAGGATGTAGTTAAGTATTACAGGGCACACGATAAGACAGGGGAAACAGGTGAGAAGGTGGGCGGGGGCAATGAATGAATGAATAAATGTGTTTGAAGAAATGGGATTGTGGCCAGAGGAAGGGACAGAGGGTACTTTTCATTAAACTAACTTAAGTCTACTGTATGCTGATCTGGAAATCGTTCTCCCTCCATCATGAAGGATCTTCCAATTTCTTAAATGCACTTTGAGAAGACGAGGAGCAAGGAGAAAGGGAAACAAATGTGTATCCTACACATTTTTTTTTTTATCAAACTACTGCACGCCAAGTGCTATTTATGTTTGGTATGATGTAAAATCTAGTTGACAATATTCAAACAAAATTCAGTCATTCTTTACACAGTTACGCAGTATTCTCATAGTGCTTACTTTGTAGAGTTGTGTATAGGGATTTACAGATAATATAACACATTTACATGGTAAGATGCTATATCATTCGCCCTCATGTTGTGTTGTGATCTAACACTTTTGTGTTGTGTGGCGTCACATAAAGAAGCAGTTTTTTTCTTTGTTTTTATTTACAATACTATCGACACACATCGTCCACAGGAATGTGGTGTATTATTACACCGAAAACATTAATGCAAGTAAAATACTAGCCTACGTAATCATAACAAATCACACTGATTAATACATAAATTACAAGGAATATTAAATGATTAAAATCATACAACAACAATTCACAAGACATATATATTTACATATACGAATACTGTAAGGCTTTTAAATTGTTCTTAAATGAAGTGTTTTGTGGACATTCATATAATTTGATTTGTCAGGTGATACATCTGGTCAGCGGTCATATCGGTCCTCACCCAGAGAAGCAGAATATGAATTGTTTGTTAGCTACTAATAAACAGTTTGTAATATTTGTCTTTTAAAAATGTAAATCCTCATACACTAAGCTGACTTATGGCTAACAGTTGACACAGGTAATAATTTAATGATGTAATTATGAAAATGTTATCTCATACTTATGTATGAAACACTAAGGCAGTCTGGAGAAACTATCATCTTCCAATTTTCTTTCTCTGATGCAGTATGTTGCTGTTAAGTCAGTCATGAAAAATTTGTTGAGGAAAAAAGAAACAGCATACGGTAAACAGTCTGATTCATCATCACTGTGTGCTCTTGCAGTGATTTAGTTCACTCTCATAAAATTGTCATGACTAGTGGATTCACATGTATGAGGCAAATTAAATTCATAATCACCACTACATCACCAAGCTACTGGGACTTTGGATGCATTGTTCTGTACCACTTTCTGGTGTGATTGGGACTTAAAAAACACAGCTGTAGTCTGACAGGTGGGATGTTTATCTGCAGTCTTTCCTCCTGTATGTTACAATTACTGACCTGCTCTTGAGATCAACAGGCTTTTATCAAACATAAATATAAAAAGGCAAAAGGTTATCTTGTTGGTTTCTTATTCTGTCAATAAGAAGACACAACAAGGCTAATATTATTCCAAAGTAAATGTTTAATTATACAGGGTTTTGTTCAGCATTGTTTTTTTGCGCTACTGTCTGATGCTTCTGTTCTAAAATGATAGTTCTTTATTTTTAATAATGTGAACTCCTTTGTAATTTGAGTTGTGTATTTTAAACAACAGCATTAGTTCTTACATGCATTTTTGATTTTGACCACTAGGGGGTTCATTGAGCCCCTTGAACCAACACAAACAGCACCTATGGTGAAATGTTTAACATGTCAAACTCTGTTGGACCCTCCAGTAGGTCCTATGTTGTCATGATGTTTGTTTGCTGAGCATCTTTCAACCTAAAATATCTTTCTAGTGGAGATTTTTAAATGGAGGATAGAGGTTTCCAGAAAAAAACGTCCTTCTTTTTTAATATGTCTGAGGTTCATGTTCAAACAAATTATTTTTGAATTGTGATTCTGTTTATAGGATGGAGAATATCAGATTTAAGGTCCATAACTCTTTTCAGTGAAAACATCAGTACAGAGATAAACTGAAGACAGTCATCAGTTACTGTAAACTAGCTGAGCTAACCTAGCACACAGCCATGCCCCCTCCCAATCTAATAATGGCAATAAATAACAAGTTGAAAGGAAGTGTAGGTTACTGACTTGTTTTTCTTTAATCCAGAGAACTAATAAACTGCTGCATCTTCAAGCTCCTGTGAAGCCGTTACCATGGCGATGTGAGTAATATATCTCTACAACACAGAGTGTTTCAGTGTTTATTGTTTCAGTGTTTGAGCTCCTGTCTTAACTTTTCTACAGGAACAGCTCGTCCAAATATGACAAGATCACCTGCAAAGTTCTGATCCAATCAGGATCTCCCACTGTCTACCAGCTGAAACCAAAGAAAGAGAAGATTGGAACTCTAACAAGAATGAATCTTGGTGAAAGAAATCTGAACAAGACAAACAGAACCATTTTACTTGTTGGTGAATCAGGAGCAGGAAAATCTACTCTGATCAACGCTCTGGTCAACTACACCATGGGAGTGAAGTGGGAGGAGAATGTCTGGTTTCAGATCGTAGAGGACGAGAAGAGAAGTCAATCAGAGAGTCAGACATCAGATGTGATCGTTTATCAGATCTTTGGTTTTGAAGGTAAAACTCTGCCCTACTCTCTGACCATCATCGATACTCCTGGATACGGAGATACCAGAGGGATTGAAGATGACTTCATCAGTCAGAGATTATTAGACTTGTTCTGCTCAGTGGACGGAGTCCATGAGATCAATGCAGTGGGTCTGGTGCTGAGAGTGACTGATAATCGACTGTGTGACAGACTGTCCTATGTCTTTGATTCAGTGATGTCTCTGTTTGGAAAAGATATGGAGATGAACATTGTTGCCCTCATCACTCACTCAGATGGAAGAACTCCTAAAAATGTTCTGAAAACCCTCGAGGATGCAAACATTAAGTGTGCTAAAGATGAAAAGAATCAGCCTGTTTACTTCCTGTTTGATAACTGTCAGGATGAAGACAGAAACGAGGACCCAGAAGACCTGCAAAATGCAGATACAATATCAACAAAAGGACTGAGACAGTTCACAGACTTTCTGGAAATAACTGAACCTCAAAAGCTGAAGACAACTGCGGATGTTCTGAATGAGCGAATCAGACTGACAGCCTCCATCCACAGCCTGAAAGAGAGAGTTGAGTTTATTGAACTAAAACAGAAAGAAATCCAACAGACTGAGGAAGGTCTGAAGAAATATGAACAAGAGATGAAGAACAATGAGAAGTTCACTGTAGAAGTTGATGAGGTCTACAAAGGTGAACAATCTATTGATGGTGGGATGTGGGGGTTGATGTTTTATCAAGGAGCTGTCTGCTGTACAGTTTGTAAAGAGAACTGTCACTATCCTGGATGTACAGTGGCCTGGTATCCCAGAGACTGTGAGGTCATGAAAGATGGTAACTGCACTGTTTGTACCGGGAAGTGTCCTGTATCAGCTCATGTGAAAGATAAGTGGATCTATGTGAACAAGACAAGAAAAGTTCAGAAGACCTTTGAAGATAAGAAAGAGAAGTATGAAAAGAACAAGACAGAAAGTGAGAGCAGGTTGAGCATTTTGGAAAATCTAAATAAGGAAACAGAAGAACTTCAGAAAGATAAAGATCAGTGGTTGGAAGAGTCCTTCCAGCATGTTGTCACACTAGTGCAGATCGCCCTGAATGCTTATTCAGTGTCCACTCTTGTCCACTTGGACTTCCTGATTGAGAAGATGAAGGAGAAAGGAGACACAGAGAAGGTCCAGAAACTGGAAGAAATTAAAAGAAGAGTGAATGAAGGAACCAGAGCAGCACTGTGGTACAAGTTTGGTAAACTAACAGCAGCTGGTAAAGAAGCAAAGAAGTAGGTGAACCAAATGACCATGAGCAGACAGCTATGTAGAAAACAAGGTCTATACTATAAATACAAATTTACAAACATCACTAAAGGTTTATCATTCTCTCTCTTTAAAGTATGATGTTGATGTAATATATGGATTCTTACATAAGCCACACTCATCGTTTAGCCCCTTTACATGCATTTTAGTAACCAGAGATCTGTACTACAAAGCGTGCTAACTGGCAGTTTAACTTCTCGATTAACTCATGCTACAAAAGCTAGAGTTTAACCGAGGTATGTTGTCGTGGCAATTTACTCTTTATGTCTAAACTGCTCAGAGCAGGTTATCTTTGTGGTTAACTCAAAGTTAAATTCATTAACGGGTCTATTTAGTTCATTATTTTGTTAATCGGAGTTGTATTCTGTCGTACTCTGTTCACAATGAGCTTCCAACAAGCGTCCTTATCATTGTTGGCCCCTACTACGTGAGATTAGCCAATTAACTTTTCTTTGAACTCCTCATTTCCGGATATTATAACAGTACATCAGAGTTTGTAAAGTTTGTAGTATATCCCTGCTATATCTCTGCTTTTAAATGTAGGGATGACGCCCCCTGGTGTTTAATGTAGAGCACAACCGCTTCCTCCCTCTCCTATATTATTAATTATAAGTAACATTCTGTTGTTAATACATTAAGTTTTCTTTGTGTTTAAGTTTTTATTATGTGATTTTCAGTCAATATTCTGATGTTATTGTGATGTTCAGTAAGTCTCAGTGAACACATTCCTGACATATCTAAAATCTAATATATTAGATAGATAGATAAAGTATCTATCTATCTATCCCGAGGGAAATTCAAGAGAAAGAGTTGTGAAGAATGCGGGCATAATATAAAGCTGTTAAAATTCATGTTTGTTTGCCCATGTTAATTAAAGATGTTACAGAATACAGATATCTACAGAATAGAAATATTCTGCTGTGCTGGGAGTGAAATCTAATTTATTTTGGATTGATTTGCTTGTGATGACTAGTTCAAATATTCCAGATGACACAGGCCATGTAGAAACATTTTGATCAGTTTAATGTACTTTATTTTCTAACAAGATATATTTTTGGGATTGCAATATATTTTGTATTTTACATGCAATCACATCCTGATGCAGTTTTCTGTGAATGATGAATAAAATCTCTGCTTCATGAAACCAGTTTGCTCAGAGTGACTTCACTGGATCATCAGCAGCTTTTAGAGTCTGTTGAACTTTCAACAGAGAAACACAGCAACATTAGAATTGATCTTTCAATAAAGTGAATATGCGATGAACTCTGATGATGATGGTTTCTGGAATGACCACTAGAGGGAGCCAAACACTGTGCCACTGAAGGATTCTGTTATGTGGACTGATGAGACTCTACTGAACTAGCTTTACATCAACACACCAACCTGGCAACTAAGATCCCTTTGCCCAGACACCCTCACCACATTCAAGAGCAGGCTTAAGACATTCCTCTTTGATAAAGCTTATAGTTAGGGCTGGATCAGGTGAGTCCTGAACCATCCCTTAGTTATGCTGCTATAGGCCTAGACTATCGGGGGATTTCCCATGGTGCACTGAGCTCCTCCCTTCCTCTCTCTTTCTGCACTCATTCATGTCCCATTAATGCATGTTACTAACTTCACTTCTTCCCCGGAGTTCTTGTGCTTTCTCGTCTCGCAGGTTCTTATCGATCCTGGTGGAGCCTCCTGCCATGGTCCTGCTTGACCGCTGCTGCTGCTGCTGTTGTTTATGTTCTTGTTGTTGTTCCCCATCATTGACGCTTTTGTTTGTTAATTTTGCAGTCCATGGTAAAGGGATTATCGGGGAAATTCTTCCATAATCTGGAGAGGTACTAGTTCTCTGAAGAATTACAAACCCAGTGTGATGAATCAAATTCCTTTATTCATGCAGCATGGAGGGAAGACCACAGCATAGACGTTCCCTCCAGACTTCTGCATTCTGCAATGCCTTGCCTTATATACCACTCTGTAGGCATCCTTAAACAGGACACATCTGTTGTCCTATCCCATCTACATTCCTAATCTAATTTACACATGGGCAGTTTAGGTCTTTCACAGTGGTCCTGTGACCTGACCCGACTGTAACCTACTGCTGACCGGTCATTTTCTACTATAAAACACAGCCCCCCTAACCAAACTGTAAACATTAACTCCCCCACCTAAAACATTCATCTACCACAGGATCATCCATCTAATATCTGAGATATTTTAGTTTGGAACAAAGTGGTGGACAGACCCCACTCTAGCATGGTAAAAACAGTTGTGATAAGGACCAGCATGTAGAAGCAGTGACTGACTGTCTTGGGAAAGATTACTCACAGACTGACTTCTGGACAGATACCCACACAGCACTGATCTCTGTGACCTTTACACACTGACTGAACAGCAGCAGCTCATTGTTCTGTGTCAACACCTTTTATTCACAAACACACACACACATAGTGTGTGTGTGTGTGTGTGTATGTATGTGTGTGTGTGTGTGTGTGTGTGTGTCAAATGACCACAGATCATAAACCTGAAATACAACAAACAAATAATGACAATATATTATTCAAATATACCATGTAAATATATTATTCAGATAATATAATAATAATGTAAATAATGAAATCAAAGAAGCCTGCAACACCATCAAAATGTGGCAATCTGGTTCAGAACAACATTGACTACATCACCCAGAATGCCTAGCGCCAGAGGAGGAGGAGCATGCGCACAGCGACTCTCCGCCGTCACTGGTTGTTATGGACTCTGTCACAGGACACAGAACCCATACCACCACGTGCCTCGTCCAAACGGCACTCCACCATGGATCACCGATCCAAACCACCACCATCACCATCACCACCACCACCACCATCACCATCACCATCACCACCACCACCACCATCACCATCACCATCACCATCACCGCCACCAGAAACCAGCAGAGCTCCAAACAATCAGCACAACGCAAAGGGCTCATAATGATAGCCTAATGCTACACAGCATCCGGGTCGCCGAGCAACCGCACCTTGCGTTACTCTCCAACTAACACCGACACAGTGAGGTTAACGGTCAGTGCTCAAACATATATTCGTCAGCATTACAGTAAAAATCTTACTATTCATTAATTCCAGAGTCTTGATTTATCCTGTAATCCTGCAGCAGTCACAATGAGTTAGATCTGAAGCTTCCTTTGTCTTTAGCTGCACAGTAAGACATTATTATTATTACTATTTAATTAATTACACCTAGTCAGTTAATGCTGATCCTAAGTGGATCCCCGTGGCTTTACGTTTTCTATTTTCTCTTCAAATAACTTTACAAAAATGCTTCAGTGCTCTCAGCTTCACTGGGAAATAACCTGACATATCTCACAGCTGCAGGATCACACTGGTCTCACGCATACGGATCCATTCATACTATAACTGACCTTCCACGTGTGCTTTTCCTGATCCACACTCTATTCCAGTTGGAGGCGGTATCCATTGTAAGCTTGTTTGCCAACTTCCATGAAAATCAGGTCGAAGGAGCATGCTCATTAGAAAGAAAACGATGACTTTGAGACAGCATTCTTGGGTTTTGTATTCTTACAGACAAATTATATAAATGTGGGTAGTGTGGACCTTATTGCACATCAAAGCAAATGGGTATCTTCCAGAGTTACAGTCTTTAAATACAAATATTCCTCTCTGTTTTCTCCAACAGTGTTTGGTGCAGAGCTGCAGTGGAAGAACCGTAACACTAAAAGGGAATTTTGTACATAAGACTAACTCTGTGTAACTTATACAGCTGGAGCCTTATTGACAGAGGAGATGACAGGAAATGAAGGGAGAAGCTAAAGGGGAACAACATGCCTCAAAGATCTCTCAGTTAGACTCAACCAGGCAAGGTGTGTTTCACAGTCAGTGCCTTAAAGTCTGGTTAACATAGAAAATAACTGGTTGAGTTCCTGATTATTTGTTTTGGGAAAAGTTACAGAAACTTTCAGAAGAAATAATAAATGTGGTTTACGTTGTGAAACAGTTGCAGTTTGGTTAGGTTCAGGAAAAGATCATGGTTAGTTTGTCATTTTTTCCAATCACCGTAACTTTTCCTCAAATTTGACCAATTTTTGTTTTTT